ACCGACTCACTCTTGGCCACCCCAGTGGGTCTCCCAACCCCCTGAACGTACCTATAACGGCGTCCCACGCGCAGCCCCCTCTACTCCCCATCCCCGCAAACCTTACCCGTCTCTGGATGCGAAATGCCAGCACACCTTTTCATATCCCGAAGTGCCAAGCCGCAAGCTGCCCGAATACCATTCGCTGTCTCGCGACTAGTACGTACTATCCTAAGCTATTCCCGAGTAGCTGGCACTATATAGGTAGGCAGCTATTCGCGATTTTACTGCGAGTCTGGAGACAAAATGAAATTGAAAATTGACGGGGATGGGAGCACTGGTATAAGCGGGTGAGAACGACGAGAACGAAATTTACGAGATTGTCAGTGACCTCGTGATACGCGTGTAAGGTACTGGTACTATAGGGCAACTGGTACCGTTTGTTTGTAACTGTATAAGGATTTATTACGAAGATAAACAAGATTCGTGAAGCTTGGCAGAGTCTGACGTAATGTCGCAAATGGCAAATAGGATCTTTGATAATAACGTTAATGTTATGAAACGCAGTAAGAATGCGAGGTAAGCTAAGAAATGATCTAGATATCGTATACAAGCCATAGCAGTACGTTTTAGCATTGAATTTGCTGGATTAAAAAAGTGTAGAAAATTAATAATTGACTAAGAAGCTTAGAAGATGCTCTTTTGAGAATAAAAAGATGGTGATTCGCTAGGAACCATCGACGGTCCGTGAAAGGAAGCAGGGCTTATACGGCTACGTTAATTATTAATTAACCAAACCGCGCAGTTTCCGGCTTAGATAAAATCGGATCGGGAAATTGGCGAACGTCGATTGCATATACGATATCGTAAGTGGATTAGCTTTAATATAAAATATATCGGCAATAAACGGATACAGCTGCGCACGTATATATATATATATATATATATATATATATATAATAGCACGGAGAATCGATGCTCCGTTCTCACAGTATCAACTATCTATACCATCTATATAGTAACTCGGGCATTGCTCTACTCTTGTTATTGTACCAAATTCGATCAAGACTCTCGTATAAACAGGAAGTCGACACCACGGGAGCTTCCAGGACGGTTGACACGATGCACTGTGCCGAAAGAAGTTCCTGTGCTATACGGGAACTTGAAACCCTGCGACTGAGTTCCCTTCCAGTAGCAATCGTTCTATAGATATCCCACGGCTCGCTCGCTCTAAGGTATGGCTTCCAAGAAGGTGCGTTTAAGTATACTCCATCCTGTCCTGTTCTCTGTTTGGATGAGATCCCTAATCTTCGTGTTCGTCCATCCTCACCTTGCCGAGCAACGACAAAACTGACTTTCTGGGACTCCTGGTCTGCTGGTACCGCGAACTCTAACGTCAAGCTTATCCACTGCGACCAATGTCCCGTTTTCAGTTTCATTGAAGTTGGAAAGAAAAGGGTTGGAGGGGCGGGAGGGGGGAAGAACAATTTCTTATTGGCCATTAGAGCCTTCTGTATCTATTCGTCACTCGTGAGACCTAGTGTAAGAAAACGGTCGACGGAATTTCCGAGAACGGATGCCGAAGAGTGCCTTCGTGGATCCGTATAGTTAGGCAGAAATGCTCTGGCTGGATGGGGACGTCACTTTAATCTGAAATCGTTCGGATATCGGAAAGCGATCCGAGCGAGAAGCTTTTCTCGTAGTCGTTTTTGGTCGGAAGGGCGAAATATCACCAGGTCATGAATGGGATATCCTATGAAGATGTAAAGTTCCGTAGAAGAGTATGAAAGTGAAAAAGAAAAGATAAAAAATAAAATTCCCTAGGAACTCTCGAGGAATCCGTATGAGCGCACGCTGTCTCCTTGTAACCAGATAGACGTTCGAGCGATCGGTTCTCCTTGTACTTTTCGGGAAGCGATTCTCTCGTGAAACGTTATGGACGCTTCGGCGATTCGGTGCTCGATGTCAAGTGGATCGTCAAGATTATTTACGTAAAAATCATCATGGTCTTCAGGTACACGAGAATTACGCGTAGGAGGGATTTATAGATACTTGCGTATATGATAGGGAATTTATCTCGGCGGATTACAAGTGGAAGTTCGGGAGAAATGAAATAAAATTAAAAGACTCGAGAAAGTTATGCAGAAGGTTTTAGGTTTGGATGGACGAGAACGTAGAATCGATGGAGGGCTAGGAATATAAAGACCGCGTGGCAGGAAGGTTAAAAGGGCATAGACTAAGAGTTGACGACAGTCTGGAAACTCTTGAGAAATTTGACTGTCGCGACTAACGTTCGGCATTGACGGGTTCTCGCCGAGGCGTTTTAAAGTCCCCGCTTCTAAATATAATGTCGTTGTAAGTCTGTTCTGACATGACAGTGACACGGCGAGTCGCGAGTCGAAAAGCCGGGAAGGCTGACGCCTGTCTAACGGGGCTAATGTGTTGTCACGAGTCGCATGCGTACATCCAGTACACGTTGTTTCTTCGTGATAACCATCCAAACAGGCTTCAATTAACGAAATGTATATACATAGAGATACGTACCAACACGTGTAACCGTACCATATCTTCTGAGAACAGAACTGGTAGATCTTGAATGGTAAATTTTCCAAAAAAAAAAATGAAAAAAATTATTAAAATTAATAACGATTTTCTATTGAGATATCTTTTAAAAAATATCCTCTTTTGATCTCACTATCGAAATCTTTTGTTACATGCCTAGTTCATGATATCCGTCACGTATGCTCTCATTAACTGGGACATTGAGGGACGGCTCTGGACCAACTGAAAAGATTCGCCTATTTTTCAAACACATAGGAGAACAAGATGTTTTTGAGTACAAAGGTGCCAGACTTTGAGAGGAGTAAAGATGTGACTTCGAGAGGCGGAAATAAAGGGTTGAAAATAGAGATGAGGGAGGGATGTAGAAAAGATAAAGGTAAAGAAGGAAGGTGACATATGGAGGATAAGGGGAAGGAAAGGCCGACCCTAGGAGGGAACTTGAGAAAAGGCAGTTGAAGTCGCGACGGAAGATAAAGGGAAGACTCGTGTACGATTGGCTGCGTTATTTCCGGGCGATCTCGCTCAGCTTCTGTCCGCAGCAAAGAGACCTCGGGAAATTGCAAAGCCTTTGGAAAAATAGAGCTGAGCGATTGCTGAATTTACTCTCAGGAAGATATTCTAGAAATCGCACATTTCCGTTATGGGATTCGCGTGCCGCGTGTCCTACATATTTCTAATTCGTCGTTATTCTTATAGGAATGTGAATCGACTTGTACTAGTGTTATTTTAGATCTTGTAAAACGTTTTTAGTCAATTTTCTATGCTTCGTTGATCTCGTCGTTTTATTGCCGAAAATTTTCCTAACAGTTACAGAGTTGGGACTATATCCGATACAGGGTTCGTGCTGACATACAATTAACAGAGCTTTTCGCATTTGTGCTCGTCCAAAAGTGGTCGGCATGCTAACCGAGCTTATTTAGCTTCCATTACTTCAGCTAATTGGTAGGGAGTTACTATGGTGAGCTATTTATCGATTGTAGCTAACTGAAAATTTAGACTACGATTTTACAGCGTTTCGCGAAAAACGCCGGCTGGGCAACTGCATGCCCTCGGCCACTTAATCTTTATTACGCGAGCGACCGCATCCCCGCGGCTTTACATAAATGTCAGTTAAGATTCTACGGCAACAAAGTACCTATGCAACCGAACGATAAGGTATGCACATAGAAAAGTAGCTTCTCGTGCAAGTTTTCCCTGGGTCCTCTCGTATATCACGCGTTTAGCCCGAAGAAGAGAAAGAAATGAAAGAAGGAGAGTGACGAGGACTAAGAAGCGCAGGGAGACGGAAAAGTGAGGTAAAGAAAGAAAAGACGTATAAGGTAGCCGGAGAATGGAAATAAGAAGTCAAGAATCTACAAACCAAAGCGCTCTGTGCTCCTCGGCGCTGTATGCCGGAAAGCAATCCGCGTGAATAATACCTATGGAAAAGATACTTGGTCCAGATAAAAATCGAAGGATTCGTGAACATGAGTGGTACGATACTAAGGTACCCTGATACGTTCCTTAGAAAATCTACCTATACCATTTGCATTTCAGGTGGATATGGGTCAATGGGTCAGATCGTCCCATAAGCATCGAAGATCGTGATTGCATTGATCCCGCGATTGCGTTACTTTTCAATTGTTTTCTCTCTCTCTCTCTCTCCCTCTCTCACTTTCTTTCTCTATAGTCAGCACGTGTTTGGTAGATTTTTGAGATTGGACGATCCTAGAAGTCGTTTTAAGAAATTGAAATCCAGTCGTGATGGCGACTGACAAATTGGAAGACACGTGCTGTCCCAGGCAAAGTCAGAGGGAAATGGACCATCTCGTAAAAGGTGTTACCTTAAAAATAAAAAAAAAGGACTTCATCAATCTTGATTTTTGTCGTATAATATATATTACGGTTAATTATCAACTTTTAGATAATTACTATTATACGTTGAGGGTGACACTTTCGACGGTAGTAAAACTTTGGCGAACTTCAGAGTGCTCGGAAGATTCATAGTGAGACGATCTCATGGCAGGTGAATGCGAAGAGACTGTGACTTCGGTCGTTCCAGCTAGAAACATCTAATTAAAAAGTTTTCGGTACCACTTTACAATTGCATATAAATGATTAATGTGCGAACAATCTTTATAACGTGTGAAATAGCGCACGACTGAAAGCAAATTTAATATGTCTATATAACCGAGTACGAAACGAGAGAAGCTTTTGAAAACGTGCACATACTTAATCGAGTGCTGGTTGCATTTACCAAGGGTAAACGGGTCTTGAAACGATGGGGTTGAACAAAAGTTGAATTAAGAGATGGAAGAATAACGAAACAATTCCGAAACTGAAAGGAACACGTTGCAAGCACTGCTACTGTCCCAGGGATTTGCTTTGTATTCAAACTGCCTTCCAACCCTGTCCGACTGTTTTTTTTATTATACGCCAGCACCACTGTCTCTCACGTCTATGTCTTTCTTTATTTACAGGTGAGTATCACAGTACCTGTGGGTGAAGTTGACGTGGATTCCAACCCTTGTTGCCTGCCTAAGTAAGTTCAAGCAATCTATCTAAAGTGGACAACAATATATATCCTGAATTAGTTCTCGCGGAGGAACAAAGGAAATTGGGAGGATCGATGCTTCTTGAAATTTTCAAAGAGGCACTTGTCCCTCATTTGATCAAAATTGAAGTGGTCGGTCTATGTTACGTGGTAGAGCCAGTATCCTGGCTAATAGCATAGAGTTTGTATCAGGGCTAATTCGATTGATAAGGGGTAACAGGCCGATTACAAGAGCTAACGAAGCTTGCAGGCTTTCTGGTTTTAGAGTCGTTCCCTCGGCCATTCACTCACTCTCGATTCCGGACTTCCATCCCTTATTCCCTCGCAGCGTAAGAGCGCAAGAGTGGGGAGCGAAGTGGAGTTTCCCAATTACTCGATGCCCTTCTTATCCACTTGGGGATAGATACCCCATACTCCATGTATAGTCCGCGCTTGGGTACTACCCTCTGCCAGTTTCTCCCATACACTCTCCTTTCGTTCCCTTGTTCCGCGCCATACAGGTTCTCCATTGCCAACCAGCCAAATCACAACTTAAATTATCTGCACAGGAACACTCTAGACCAATCGCCTTGCAGGTACAACGGAAACTCTACTTCATCTCTGTTCATCCCCCTTTCATTCGACTTTCAGCAATCGAGTATACTTCACAATGGACCAACGGAACGAGAATCGACTCAAATAATTACACTTCGGTCTATTAAACATCGAACCATTAACTCTGCACGTTATAGTAGAAATTCACGTGAATTTTTTCTTATCGTCTTTTTATCATCGTTACTCCTATCTTCAAATCCCTCCAGACACGAACCAGCATTGACCCCTTTGATCGGTTATCCATTTCGATCTCCTTGATAGGACCCCAAGGTACGTTTCTCTAATAGATGTAAGAAGATTTCTACCAATTGGGAACTTTTTGACTCCCTACGAAAATCATTATGGTTCATCGATATTAGGTCTTGTCCGTGTGTATCTTCGGTTTTCGAGTCTCTTGACTTTTATGATATTCACTGGGTATTTTCGATAAAGATCAATTTCCAATCGATTCCCTTTTGTGATAATACTGATAATCCTATTTAATGGTAATGGAATGGTTTGGCCCTTCTGACAATGATGGTTCGTGGTAGGTGGGTACGTGGATAGGTAGGTATAGCTTAGTGGGATGGTTAGCTGCTAGATAGCTGCCTGGGTTGGTAGGTTGGTACACGGACCGTGAAACGTATTTCGGTTACGTAGGCGAACCGTCTAGGATATTCGAGTAATATGATCTCGAGAGCTCGTCGTAACGCAGTTAGGCCAAGAGGGTCACCTCACTTCTCCACTAATAACTCTCGTCTTGGAGGTAATGTGAGCCGCTACCAAGCAGCAGGTACAACTTGGTGTATGTACTATACATTTATATAGACATAATGGGTAGACAACATTAAGTTTAGTTACATAATACACAGGACAGTAGCGATAAGTATGTATTTAGAGATTTTACTTCTTCTTGGAGGAACCAATAAATTACCCCTTGCTATATCAATTGGCTGGAATAAACTAAATCCAGATTTTTTTTTTGTACTGTGTAAGATATTTTTAGTTCTGAAAAGTATGACCTTGAACTTGTCTTTTATATATATATTGTATATATTCCCATATATCTAAGGTACCACTGACAGGAGACATTAGACCTCGAATTTAGGGTAAGACCTTCCGAAAGGAAAAGGGGCTTTCGGGCTTTGCACGCACGGGCTATTTACTAATTGAAACTCCAATCGGGTTCGGGCCTTCTTAGACTAATCGAAACAGGTTGGGAATATTGGCCACCAATGAAATCCGAGAAACTGTGCAGAGCCACAATTCTCGTTAAGATCCTTTTCTCAGAACTGGACTCAAGCTTAATTCGATTTACCTCTTTTGTCGGTAAAGTCAGACTCGAATTTTAGTAGACTATATTGGACCTGACGTCACTCAATTTTACCAATAGGCAATAGCTATCCGTTATAAAAATACCGCGTTCATTTTGAACCAGCTTTGATTCTCTATCAGACTAGAAACTTTTCTTTCGTAGAAACAGGCTACTGGAAATAAGGAGGTCGAGTAAGAATTTTTCGAAAGTAATTTCAGTCCTTGGAAAATTGAGCCTCGAGATATAGTATCGTCTAGCGGTTAATGGGATGGGTAACGACTCGTCGGAAAAGCCTGTGTACTAAATTGGTGAACGCACTTAAGTATACCGGGTTTCGTAGATGTACCTACCTACATTAATCGTATATACAGAATATAACCATGTAGCACTTTACCTTGAAGAATTCCAGGACGGGACGTCCAAGTTGGGACGTCAATGGGGGTTCGCGTGCGATAGTCTGGAGATATGCTTGGGACTTAATTGAATTCGACCCAAGGCTGCTACGAGTTCAGGGGCGCATTACGTTTTCCTAAATTACAAGGGCGTTTCGCGATCTTATATCTCAGTCAATAAGTATACCAGAGCCAAGTCACGGAGAAAGTTTCGGCCAGTAGCTCATTTGCCTACGGAAACCCGATATCCATCGTTTTCACTAATTTTGTGAAACGGACTATAGCGTGCTTCGTCGATCCCGAAGAAGAATAAAGGACCCCCCTGTAGAATAGCCAAGAGTCATTCCCACGTAGCTACACCAGAACCCAGAATTAAGACGAATGATCGTGAATGAAAAACAGACTTTCCTGTTTACCAAAGAGAGCTCAAAGTTTTCTTAATAAATCCATGTCGGATGAAGATGACTCGGAAGTTCTGATAAGCAAAGGGAGCGAAAGGATTTCCTTGTATGTTGTATACCCAGCTAGACACAATTTCCGGTTCCCATATCCCTGAATTAGAAACGCTATCTACGCGCCTCGCAATTTCAATGGCCTTCTCCGTCACCCTTGGAAAAATAGTTTCATTCGTACCCGGATGCCAGGAGCAAAGTCAGTTCCAAAGGAAAGTAAAGGGTGCGAGAGGTTAGAAAGCGAAGAAGATCCACGACCATGAGTTTTGCTCATTAGCAACTTTCTCGTCGGGAATCAACGGGCGTTCGCTTTCAGGAGGGTAGGAGTGACCACGTCACCCTCGTAATTAAACGGCTGGATTTATTAATTAGGAGCTGCCAGAGTGATAGCTGCCGCTACTTATGATCCAGGCGGACATTGGGATTCGGGGCGCGAAAGGCACCACCGCTCACTCAAGTCTTATGGGCTTCCCATGAGTCAGCACCGTGTCAAATGGTGCCTTGCAATTATCATTCCCCTTTGGCAGGGCCGGTCGACCCTATAGGTGCCAGGATATCCAAAGGGATAGCCTGTGCTTTCAGGATATTTAGGCTACAATATACCTATAGTCTCTACTGTTGCTATTATGCCCGTCAATACTATATTGAGGCAGGAAAGATCAAGACTCTCCTAACTAACCAATCTGGCTTCCCTTCTACCAGGACAATGAGTTCCGGTCGTTACTCCTTTTAATTATGATTATAAAACCAGCCCGTCTCCTTCTGACAAGCCCGACACCCTCTTTCGTCGAAGGTATAGGCAGCTATGCTCTCTCCGTATCCTTTGCTCTCAGTGTTTCTAGAAGTCAGGTCCTCCCTTCGTCTCACTACCCTAATCCTCTGCTATTCTTTTCTCGTTCTCCCTCGAAACGAGATTCCGCAATGTAATACAAATCCCAGGAACTCCTACTGGTTTATGATATCTCTGTCCTTCTCTGTCTACTTAGTTTTTCATTCTGTATTATATTCTTCGTCTCTGTCCTATGTATACGGTGTCTATAGACAGTCTCTCCCTCTCTCTCTTTCCATCTTAAATCTCCACCAGGGAGGTTCCTCGGGTCTTCGTAAGAAGCCGGTTTTTAGCCGCAGCTCGACTCAATTGTGTTTTTACTCGGTGAGGATGGGGTGATAACCATCGTACGTCCTTATCTCTCCACACCCTCGTCATCGCCTTCCCCCGGCGCCATACACTGGGTGTTTGTAAAGTCCCCGTCTATCTCTTTGCCTCGATAGAGTGCCGGCGTCTATTCATCCGATACTAAACACGGGTAATCTTAGTTGGACGCGAACACGACGAGACCGACCGGGTGTTCCTGGTAAAGGCCGTTTCGGCAGCAGATGAGACAAGATGAGAGAGCCCATCAAAGGTTTATGACGGCCTGGCCCTGAAATTACGAGCTTAGTAATTATTGCCGGTGCTTCTCTATGCGCTTCGATATATTCCTATATCCGGATTATTTAGACCAACCGTAAATTCTACCCCAAAGGCACTATTGGCTAATTTCTCCATCGCTGTGATCGACCCTTCTGCTTCGAGCTAGCTTTGGACATCCGTCTCCGAATATAGCCGATTACTTCCTCAACGCTCCCACGTGGGATGTGTTGCATGTATATGCGTACTCGTGTAGAAGGAAATCTCAATGATTTCCAGGCATCTAGAAATCCAGAGAAATCCGACTGTCTCTACGGAAGTGCAGGTGGCACCAGGACGTCATCTTAAAGTCGAATGGGATAGCCGAGGGTATCCGGTATCTCCCGGAAGGAGTTGAGATACAAGTCCGATAAGTGAGAGGCGCTTAGGCGAAGCGGAACGGGGATTATCCGAAGTCTTCCTTGAGATCCCTCGGGATCCCTCGACCTCTCCAGAGTCCGTCTAGCCGGAGGCCGCAACCATGTACGAAAAGTGAAGAACCTGGAAGAAGCTCGTTTCTCTCTGTTCCAGTATCACGTGTAACATTCACGAGATGCACCCTTGTTCCAGACTCCTAAAGCATCGGATGGTCCATGATAAACCATTTGCAATTGCCAAGTCAACGAGTGTACGATTCGACTGTTTCCTTTTCGGGTTCCTTCGATCCAAGGAAGAATCGATTGGCTGACAATATACCAGGATAGAAAAGTAAAAATGCGGGCTGGGGGGTGGAAGGAATAAAAATAAAATCGAGGAGGCGTTAGGTAGCTCATGTCACTGCTTGGTTTCCTCTCGAAATTTCTGGG